GGGGGGAGTGAATGCAGGACCGCAGGGTCCCTCTGTGGGTCAAACCACCACAGTTTGTAGGAGGAGATACAAGGACTATTTATAGGTGTGATCCTACTACAGACCAGCACGGTCTTTCCATAGTAGAAGGTGTGGGGTTCAAGTCCACATGGATGTTAAGTCCGTTGGATCAGTATCAGAAAGACAAGAGGGGTCCTCAGCCCATGTACTGCATCTCAGGAATTGCTCACCAGCAACTGGAGCAGTACTCTTTCTGGAAGGACCCTTTTTAACCACTGCTTTTTCCTGCAATCCACAGAATCACAGAATGTCAGGGATTGGAAGGGACCCCGAAAGATCATCTAGTCCAATCCCCCTGCTGAAGCAGGAACCTAAATGAGATCACACAGGAAGGCGTCCAGGTGGGTTTTGAATGTCTCCAGAGAAGGAGACTCCACAGCCTCCCTGGGCAGCCTGTTCCAGTGCTCCGTCACCCTCACTGTAAAGAAGTTTCTTCTCAAGTTTAAGTGGAACCTCCTGTGTTCCAGACAGACTTCGAGGACCAAGGTAGATGCACTGTCCCACTTCATCATATCCTCCCCACAGTCATGCAGACAGAACCACGGGGTGGCATGTGGTGTGCGCCCATGGCTCCCTTTCCTTCGAGCAGAAAGGCCAACTCGTGGTAACTGAGATGCTGGCCTGCAGAAGCATGGATGGAGAGAGGTCATCCACGTTCTCGAGCTGCAGCACCTTGGGGAACCGTCTTTCCACAGCTGAGATGCAGGTGCTTAGCAGGGAGGGGGAATAGAGATTCTCTTTGAATCACCAGAGCTGGCAGACCAGTCTGTACAGAGCTGGTGTCTCGATGTCAGCCCAATCCATTGCTGGGTTGCTGGCGCAAGACATAGGTGCGCTCTGCACAGATTCCTGCCACACAGACCGTGTGGACTGTATGTCATTTGGATCTTTGGGAGCCTGATTATTGTCCATATCACTGTAGACCACCTCCACCACTGCTAATTCCCTCGGTCACTTGATACCATCCTCTGTGGTAGTCCACCTGCCCCACTGAGTCACAATATCTTCCTTAAGAGACTATCCTCTCCTCGTGCTTGGTAAGACCCACTTCTGGAGGCTGTGGATGGCTGTCCCTCTTCTGATCCCTCTGTCAATCCCACAGTCACTAGCAATGGACCTCGGCTTCCCTACTTTCTAGTTCCAGACTGTTAGCCCCACTATCCCAGCACTGGAGCAACCAGGCAGCAATTTGCTCACCTTGCTAATGGACAAAATCTTTCTGCCTATCTTGCAGCTTGGTCATGGATGAGGACCAGGTAGTTTCTGCCTCTTAAAATTTCTCTCTCTCCTCCCCTGTCCTGCTGCAGAAGAGCCTTCCTCTTCTCAGTCTTCCTCTCTTGTCCTCTTAAGAGGAGCTGCTGCTTCTCTTACTGAGTTGACCTCTGCTTCCACTGTTTCTTCTTGACTTCAGGAGCAACTATTACCGTTAAGGGTTCGGTTTCTGGTTTAGTGTCCGTTTGTGTGGCCTCAGAGCAAGAGACCTTCTCAGTGCCTGTTTGTGGTTTCTTAGATAGGGACACCCTCTTACACCTCTGAGGGCTCTGGCCAGTGGCTTGATAGTCCTGGGCCAGGTTCCAACACAGCTTTAGAAGCCAGTGTGTTTCACCTCCCCTCCTTCAAACTGTCTATTAGTTTGATGGGTTTACAAGCCTGTTCAGGCATGAAATCCCAAGTTATCAGAGACAATAACGGCCCTATGTGCCTGCCCAACTCCTCCCATAAACCCTGACACCCCAGGGATCAGTCGCCTCACAGCATGTTCCTGTGTGGCATCCCCAGTTAGCTATTTAACCTTACAAACAATAACCACAATCAGGATCACAATACACACCAGTATGAACAGCCTGATTACACAAGGATGCTGAAGGAACTGAGAAGCCGTTACATCAAGGCTATAAAAACCTGTCCTGGAGGAGAGGAAGGCATAGGTGCCATTCCTTTCTTTCTCCACAAAGAGTCTCTCAGAGGAGAAAAGGGGAAAGGTATAGTTGCTGGTTTTGTCCATGAGATGGTTCTTCGAGCACTGGGAAACCAGTGATGTAAGACCCAATTATCAGATTAGGCTGAAGGCCAGTGGTTTTATCATAGCTCTCCCAAGCAAAGGTAAACAAAGTGACAAACAACACACTAAACCTCAAAATCTGAAAACAGTCATCAGTGATTCCTGGAGTCTGCTGTACAGCTAGAAAGGAATCAAGCATTGGAATAGTCAAGGAAACACATAAGTCAGCACCCAAAGTGAATATGCCAGCATCGTGATCTGCAACAGCCATTCAAATAGCAACTTAACAGTTAAAACAGCTAGAAATTTAATCACGCACATTTTAACAAAATCTGCTATTATCTCGAAGGCCTTGAGCCCCATGTTGGGCACCAAAAAGGACTGTTGTGGGTTAACACCAGTAGGCAGCAAAGCACACACAGCTGCTTACTCAATGCTTACTCCACCAACCCCAGAGGGACAGGAAAAGAGTAAAAGAAGAGTAAAAACAAGAAAACTTGTGGGTTGAGATAGAAATTGTTCAGGAAGTGAAGGTGAACTGTAAGAAGAGATAAAGAAAATAAATGATGCAAAGGCAATCACTCACCACCTCCCAAGCCTGAATGACACCCAGACAGTTCCCAGGCAAAATAACCTCCCTAAACCTCCTTCTCTCCCTTTCAGTTGCTGGGCATGATGTTATACGGCATGAAATCTCTCTTTAGTCAGTTTGGGTCACCTGCTTGGTTGTGTGTGTGTGTCCCCAACCTCTTGTGCACGCCCCAATCTATTCACTGGGGGGCAGAGGCAGAAACAGAGAAGGTCTGACACTAAGCAAACGCTGTTCAGCAAGACCTAAACCAGCTAAAATACTAGTGTGTTGTCAGCATTCTGTTGGTCATAAATCTAAAACACGGCACCCTATGAGCTGCTATGGAGAAAATTAACTCCATCCCAGTCAGACCAAGTACACTAGCATAGCTAAAACCAAAAATCTAACAGATAAAACGGCTCAGCCCCATAGAATCATCTTGAAACTGACTAGCCAAGATATAACATTATTTTATCTATCTCTACCATGACTAAGATGACTGTCTATTCAGTCATCTATTAAAATAATGCTATGTCCCAGGGATTAGGCAAACAAAATTATACAAGATTGTGAATTAAATTTAAATTGCCAAATTAAGTACAGGTAAGAGTAACAGCTTTACATCTTTCAAACTGAATTCAAGTTTTAGCAGACTGCTCTTTCACATAGTTATTTAAATAATCAACTTGCAATTAAATACCTGGTGTTTCTTTAGTTCCCTCTTTAGCTGAAGAACTGTGATGTGATGTGGCTCTTGGCTGGTCCCAGTTCCTGTGTCAGTTTCCTGCATGGTGAGAGCTTCCTTCCTTACTTCCTGTACCCTAGCAATCCAGCTCTGCAACCTGTCCCGCTGGCTTCTTTTTAAGCTAACATTATCATTCAAATCAACCAGAAATGGGAAGGCTTCATCTATGCAACTTCTGTAACTGAAACACTGAACCTGAAGCTGGGCGAGCTGCTCCTCAAGTGAACTGATACGAGTTCTTTCTTGATTTAAGTCGTGTGAACACTGATTACTGACTTGCTGGTTCTGCAAAGCTTCTGGAAGCAATATGATTTCAAGTTCCATTTCATCAATCCGGTCTTGATCGGGGCTGTAATTTACAACTCGTTTAGTTCTAATGGTTTTGGCCCTGCTGGCATATTTGAGGGAATTTAAAGATTCATCAAAGTCTGATGAGGATGGACTTATACATGTTATCATGACAGTCTTGGCATTTCCTCCAAGGGAGTCTTTCAGAATACGAGTGATTTTAGCATCCCTGTATGGAATGTGTGCACTTTTCCTTTTTGGGTCTCCAAGGGCACTGATGACATTTCCCAAGGCCAACAGGCCACTATTGATCTGAACTGATTCTTTGAAGCGCTCACCAGTATTTCCAGTCTTTGTCACCCTCTCTGATCCTGCCAAATCCACAAAATGAAACTTTGAAGCAATCATCTGGACTGATTTCCAAGATGAATCCTGTGCAACATCAGTATTTTTTTGAGACTCTGCAGACTGTTTCTGACAAACACTGATGGTGAAAATGGCATGAGATCGACTGGAGTGCTCATTCCTTTGTGTTATGCCTGTGTGACGAGCTGCATCGCCACTTTCCAGCAGGCTTATCACTTCATCTGCACATTCTACTTGGAATTCCTTAGCACCGACAATCACTTCAAACAACAAACCAAGGAAAGTAAGAATAATTCAATCAGTTCTAAACACTCCAGCAAAAGTTTACAGCAATTAGCAACAGTCAAACTATAAAGACAAATTAGATAAATACACAAGCCTGCGTTAATAAAAGGTCATAGCACATAGCTACAGAAAAATAAAACATCAATAGGTGAAAAGCGTGAGGTACACCACATCTGAAACCTGAAACCACACACCCATATATTAAATATATATATTATATTTAATATATGGGTGTGTTGTGTCATAGCATTTGAAACAATACCTTAAATGCAATACACCGCTTTACTCATTTACACATTGCCATATAGAATTTGCAATCTTGTGCTATCCAGAAAAAGAGTGAGTAAAGTCAGCTCAAAGGATATTTTGCCAGTTTAAAAAACAAATAAGACTATAAGGATTAGGGATTGTAGGGATTTCTACATTTCCTGTAGAAAGGGATTCCTAGCCTATGGTAAGAAGAGAATTTATCTTCTGTATAGCTCAGGTAGTTGGGCCTTTTAGACAGGTATCTATTAGTAATCTAACAATGTGGAAGTGCACTTGCTACCAAGGACTCCTACCAAGCTTATTTTGTGTGCTTTGTTTTAATGATGAATGGGAAATGTCCTAGTACAATCATCTGAAGCTGACTCAAACTGTACCGAAGAAGAGAAATAGTTTAAAATATATTGTGGGGTCCTTATGAAGCAATTATATTGTCTGTAAGATTTGCGCTAAATTAGCGCCTTCTTCCCGCTACAGACAAGAAAACCATGCCAGCTCGGTGCAGCAGTGTGTTAATATTAGAGCAAACAGAACGATTAGAATATAAAGAATAAAAAACCAAACCAAACCAAACCAAACAAACCCCCAAAATATTCTCATTTCAGAATAAGGTATCTCTGCAGTGGACAGCAGAACTCTAAGATACATGTTAATTTCAAAGCCCTGAAAAAAATCACATGCTACTCTTAATGAAATGTTCTTTTCCTCTCATTTCATACTGAAAGGGAGCAGATATTTACAGTATAAGTGGCTTAACAAGTACAATTTTGAAAGGAGAAGTAAAGGCTTAACCTTGAAATACTTAAGCGAATAATCACACACTATTGTGTTTTTAGACAGAATCTGCAGAAGCATTAATTGTATTTCTACTTCATCATTTGTTGCCATTTCTGATGGAACATCTATATTGTTCACAGGCATCTGAACCCAAACTGCTTCAAACCAGCTAAACCGAAACAAAACACACCCAGTCTGAGAGCTGAAATCCTACCTGTATTTCCCTTTTCATCTTCTCGGATATGTAATTCTTTCCCAGAGGTCTCCAACTCCAATAAATCTCGAAGTTCTTCCTTGTAAACCTCTATATAAGATACTTTCACATGGAAGTCAATGCTACGGTTTTCAGAAATATGCTGAAATAATTCCTGAATAGCTCGTGGGATTATGCCCTTTTCATCCTCTGCAGCTGATGCTAAAATATAAGCAAAGATGTCACAGAAGCTTGCAGTCATTCTGCCACATAAATTACAAAAAATGAAGATGGAGAGCAGCCTCTGAGATTTGCTACTCAGTATACTAGGGAATCTGAAGAGCTCAGTGTTCCCAAGGATGTTGGTAACTGTTTTTCTGGGGTTCAGAATATTTGTTTGCATCCATTAATAGGATTCAAAGTTATAAGTTACATAATGTTACAGTAAAAAAAAAAATTAAAAATATGGAGTCTACTTGAAATCTGTAGTCCTCAGAGTACAGATTTCTTCTTTATTCCTACTCGCTTCGGTTGGCAATGACATTGCAAGGGTTTGAGAAACTATAAATTCCACTTAAATATAGCAAAGACCATGAGTAACTTGGTGAAACAAGATTTATGACCAACATTTACAGTAATCTCCTATTTTTTTTTAAAGGCTAATGCCAAACTCTGTTTTTATTTTTTTTTAATATTCCATAAATAAGTTATATTCTTTATTCAAGAATATGAAAACTAACTGTTTGTCTATGAGAGGATGCCAAGAATCTTTCTTCTTTTTACCAAAACAATAAAGGGTTACTTACATATAACTATGAATTTAGTAAATATATGTATAAAACTAAAATTGCTGAGCTATGAACAGCCTTAGATTGTGACATCCACTACCTAAAGAATTTGGCTGGCAATGGTACTTATAAGAACAGTAAGTAACTACTACTAGAAGAAAGATAAGTGAAGTTGTAACAGTAAGCAGAATTAAAAGGCCAATCGTATGAGGTCCAACAAGGCCAAGTGCAGGTCCTGCACCTGGGTCACAACCACCTCGTGCAACGCTACAGGCTTGGGAAGAGTGGCTGGAAAGCTGCCTGGTGGAAAAGGACCTGGGGGTGTTGGTGCACAGCCAGCTGAATGTGAGGCAGCAGTGTGCCCAGGTGGCCAAGAAGATCAACAGCATCCTGGCCTGTATCAGGAACAGCATGGCCAGGAGGAGTAGGGAAGTGATTGTCCCCTGTACTCAGCACTGGTGAGGCCACACCTCGAGTACTGTGTTCAGTTTTGAACTACAAAGAGGACACTGAGGCACTGGGGTGTGTCCAGAGAAGGGCAACGAAGCTGGAGAAGGGGCTGTAGTACAAGTCTTGTGAGGAGCAGCTGAGGGAACTGGGGTTGTTTAGCCTGGAGAAAAGGAGGCTGAGGGGAGGCCTTATCACTCTCTACAACTGCCTGAAAGGAGGGTGTAGCCAGGTGGGGGTCGGTCTCTTCTCCCAAGTAACAAGTGATAGGATGAGAGGAAATGACCTCAAGTTGTGCCAAGGGAAGTTTAGATTGGATATGAGGAAGAATGTCTTGACTGAAAGGGTTGTCAAGCACTGGAACAGGCTGCCCAGGGAAGTGGTTGAGTCACCATCCCTGGAGGTATTTAAAAGCCATGTAGCTGTGGTTCTTGGGGACATGGTTTAGGGGTGGACTTGGCAGT